AAAAAAAAAAAAAAAACACTTTGAGGCAGGGTGGGGCAGCGCACCCAGGCTCCATCCGGAATTCCTGCTGGCTCAGAAAGTGGGTAGTAGTGAGGGATGGCCACACCTCCGTTCACCAAGAGGGTTTGGGGTATGAAAGTAACAAGGGGAATTTCAATCCTTTCCAGTCGTCTGAGTCCAGAATGTCCTTGGGGTTACTGGCAAGTGGAGCCTGTTCTTAAGTCCCTGGAATCTAGGAGAACACTGTCACTTTAAATATCCATAATGGTCAAGCCACTTATAAACATTCAAGATGGCTGTGCCCTCTGGACAGAGAAACGTCCACAGCTCAGCCTGCCTTCCTCTCCACAGCTTCACCTTTTTATTCCCAGCCACCAGAGCAGTCCTCCATGCAGTCCCTGGCTAGCGGGGCTGATTTTCAGGTTAATTCTTAGGTCCTGCCACCACTGTGCAATATCCAAGCTGTCTGTGCCATCAGGATAGCTGCCAGACCGCAGCTCTGTATGTCTCCTTTTTTGGTGTTTTCCTGCAAATTCTTCTGCTAGTTGGAGTTTAGCCTACTTTCTATGTCCTTCCCTTCAAGGCTCAAGGGTCCAGGATTATCTGTATCTGTGTTAATTGGTTCCCCTTTTCTTTATTGAAGAGGGTCTGTGCAGTCTTTGTACCTATTCCACCATTTTACCGGAACTCCAACTTGGTGACTCTTGACTGACTGGAGTGGCCCTGGTGGATTCTGTAAACTTCTGTTTAAAGTGCTGACGCACACTTGTGTGTTGTATGCTGTATTTAACTGGCCCTGGCAGCTGACACGCTCTCGGCCCCTGACCTGCCCCTGCACTGTCTCCTCAGGCACGCCCAGCGGGTTCCCTCCAGGTGGCTTCATTCCCAAGACAGCCCCACCTCCCAAGGGTGGTGGCAGCTCCTGGCAGGCAAGCCGATCCTCCGCCCAGGGCACCTCCTGGTCCCCCCAGGTCAAGCCACCCTCTACCAAAGCCTGCCCACAGCTGAGGCCCAACTACCCGAAGTTCAGCGTAATTGGGGGCCGTGAGGAGAGGGGTGTTCGCACCCCCAGTTTCGGTGAGTCAGCCGTCTTTCTCCGTGAAGCTGGCCCTACGTGGTCACAGGAGGATGGGGTTCCATTTCCTGCCATTCAGGCCAGCCTGCGAAGGCAGGTTTGAACCAGACAAACCCGTCTGCCACTGTCAGTTGGAAGGGAGATGGTTTGTGCTGCGAGTCTCCTGAGGGTCTTCCTGCACCTGAGACTGGCTGGGGGTGAAGGGTGCAGGCAGGGAGAGCCCCCTGCATCCTCAGGGCAAAGGGTGAAGTCGGGGGGTGGCCCTCAGGAACCTGCTTCAGGACCAGCCTGCCCTCCTGCCCTGGGGCTGCTGGACTTCCAGTCCACAGCCCCCAAGCCCAGGCCCAGCCACTGTGGTACTTGTCACCATGGGAAGGTCACCTTCGATGTCCTTCCCTGCATTAAGTCCATCTGTCTCCAGGTGAGCTGCCAGCTGACTCCTGGGGTCCTGTGTCCTTTCCAGCTGGGAAGACAAGCGAGACCAGCCTGGAGCTGTGGGTTGTCTGGGGCCCCCGAGTGGTATTCTTTGTGGTCCTGCCTTCAGGCCGCCCCCCAGCTCTCATCCATGTACTGCTTGACCTGGTGAGACAGATGCATCGTAGGGAGCCGCCTCCTGGTCTCCTCTCAGAAAGAGACTGGCCAGCCACCTTCAGGAACCCCATGTTTTCTTTTTCCTTTCCTGGTAGCATAGGGACAGCTTTGCACCTTTTGGGGCCATGAGTCTTCTCCTGGGGGAGAAAATGGGAGGGAGGCATGAACACGCCACGTGGACGCCTCTCATAAACTTTCCTTCTCTTCCAGGTCAAAAGGCAAAAGTTTCAGAAAATGACTTTGAAGACCTGCTGCCCAATGAAGGCTTTCCCTCTAAATCTGACAAAAAAGGACCAAAGACCATTGCTGAGATGCGCAAGCAAGAGCTGGCCAAGGACACGGACCCACTCAAGCTCAAGGTACGATGTGTCCACCCTGCTCTGCCCCAGCCCCTGTCAGTTAGGGCCACAGGACCAGGAGGCATCCCGGTGGTCCAGGTGGGCGTGGCAAGGGGGGCCTGTGCTGATGGACGCCTCGGGCCGGGTGCCCTCCAGGCATTCTGCAGGCTGGAGCCAGAGCAGGGAGGGCATCTCCAGCCAGGGCACCTTCGCTTTGCTGACCCGTGCAGTGGGCTTGGCCCACGGGATGGTGGCTGCCGTCCTGCAGGGTCTCACAGCGTAAGCCGTCTTCCTGGAGGGAAGCTGTGCTTTCGCAGAGGCTGCACAGATGGTGCCGGGAGACAGGAGGAAAGCTGGGGGTGTCCAGGAACAGTGGCTGGGCCCTTGTTCCCAGGAGCACCCCCCTCGCCCGCGCCCAGGGTTGTGAGGCTGGCTCAGGGCCTCATGGGTCTGCTTCCTGGCAGGAACGGCCGCCAGGCACTGCTCCTGCCATCCTACCGTGCACTACTGTGTCCTCACCCATCACTGCTGCCCTGTCCCCGTGGGCCCCTCACTGGGCCCCATCACTGGGCCCACCACCCTGTCCCTGCTGTCCCCCATACCCCTCATAACATCACTGGGACCCCACACACACAGCATCACTGGGCCCTCTCCCACAGTGTCACTGCTGTCCTGCACCCCCGCCCCTCATGGCATCACTGTGTGCCCCCCCAGTGTCACTGTGCCCCCCCTCCCCCTCCCCACACACACAGTGTCACTATCTCCCCTCCTCCCCCTCGGGCAGCTTGGTCTCATCCCCTCAGGTGTAGAAAGAGTGCTGGGTGCGCCCTGGCAGGTGCTGCTCCCACGCACCGAGACGCCCCTGCCCTGGAACACACTGGGCCTGAGAACAGTGGAGGGCAGGGTGATGGCTCACGTCCCAGCCGCTCTACCACTCACACCCAGGCCACCTGAGATGCACTGTGAGTGGGAGAGGGGCTGGGGACAGCTGTGTTTCAGGGACCAAGGTGTGAGTGGATGAGGGGACAGGGACATCAGTGTCCCAGATGTGAGCAGAAGAGGCTGGGGGATGTCTGTGTCCAGGGGCCCAGATGTGAGTGGCAGGGCATCTGCGTTCCAGGAGCCCAGGTATCTGCATCCCGGGAGCCCATGTGTGAACAAGAGGGCGTCTGTGTCCTGGGAGCCTGGGCCAGAGTAGGAAACAGGACAGGATGTCTGTGTCCTGGGAGCCTGGGTGTGAACAAGAGAGGGCACAGGGCATCTGTATCCCGGGAGCCCAGGCGTGTATAGGAAAGAGAACGGACGTCAGCGTCCCGGGAGCCACATGAGTAGGAAAGAGAACAGACATTGGTGTCCCAGGAGCCCAGCGTGAGTAGGAAAGCAGACAGGATGTCTGTGTCCTCGGGTCCCAGGGAACCTGTGTGGACCGTGCAGGGCCTGGTCAAGCAGACGAGGCAGGGAAAGCCTCCACTTGGAAGGAGGCCCCAGGCCATCCTCAGGGTGAGAGACGGGAGCCATGGGACCTTGACAGAGGAGGGCAGTGCAGAGGGGCCGTCACAAGGACACCCACAGCTGAGAGACCAGGTGGGGGGAGCTGAGGAGGGCACATGGACAGGGTCTACCCCGGCATCAGACATGAGCACCTCGGCCCTCCTTGAGGAGGAGCCTGGTGGAAGGTCTACTGGGGCGGGTCCAATAGGGACCCCTAATACGTGTACAGCCTTGGGCTTGGCACCAGGCTTTCTAATTCTCGGGCCTAGAGCTGGATTCCAGGGTCATGCCCCACGCGCACAGGGATCTGCTAGCTGCCATGAGCATCACTGCTGGTGATGGCTGCCCTCTGCAACACGGCACACCCGGCTGCAACCCCTGCCTCACGGGAGGCACCTTAGGCCGGGCCTCCTTCTCAGTGGACCGAGGGCGAGCGTCTGTCCCCCATCTGCCAAGTGGGTTGACGCTGTGGCTTTGCAATAACAAGGGCTGCACTGGGTGCTGGGGACATCCAGCTGGGTATCAGGGTGCCAGGCGGAGATGGGCAGAGTGAGGCGGTGCCCAGCATGGCGCGGGGCCAAGGGGAATGGCCCGGCTTTTACACACCCCACGGGTGACTGGTGCAGCATGTGACAGTCAGCTGGGGTGGGCTTAGCAGCATGAAGAAGGTCTCACACAGGGGCTGGCAGCAGTTGGTTCCCGGCCACTCTCAGGGCCCGTGAGCTCCCCTGTGGGTCTCGTCTGTGGGCCTGCGACCCTGCCTCCACCTTGCTGAAAGCAAGAGCCAGGGGAGCGTCCATGGAGCAGTTGAGAGTCTCTGGAGACACCTGCCCCCACAGGGACCACTTCTTCTGTGGTGGCCCATGTGGATGACCAAGAAGGGGTGCAGGGTGCAGCGCCAGACCCGAAAGCAGTGCCTCGCCTCCACACCCCTGCGGGAGATGGCCCTGGAGATGGGGCACAAGGCGAGAGCGTGCGCAGGCGCCCTGCCTCCACACTCCTGTGGGAAACGGGGAGACGAGAGCACGCGCAGGCAGCACCTTGGGGACTGGAGTGGAGTGTGGTGCTCACGGGCCTCGGGTCCCAGCTGCAGTGACTGGTGCCAGTGCCCTGCAGCAGGGCCGTTCTGGCCTCAGGGCATGTGGGTGCCCGAGCCCACCTGTGTGTGTCCCCCCAGCTCCTCGACTGGATCGAGGGCAAGGAGCGGAACATCCGGGCACTGCTGTCCACGCTGCACACGGTGCTCTGGGACGGCGAGGGCCGCTGGACGCCTGTGGGCATGGCTGACCTGGTGACGCCCGGCCAGGTGAAGAAACACTACCGCCGGGCTGTGTTGGTGGTTCACCCCGACAAGGTGCGCGGGGCGGGTGGCCCTCCTGTGCAGCCACACCCACACCCTGGGCCACGGGGCGGCCGCCCCCTGCTCCATCCTCTGGAGGGGCTTCCTTGGGGGGGCTCGGTCATGCCGTCCTGGGTGCTCCCCAGGCCTGGTTGAGGACAGGCATGTGGCGCTGTCCCTGACGGGTGTGCAGTTGGCAGAGTGGCCGGGCGCCGCCCTGATGCCGCCTCTCACCTGCAGGCCGCAGGGCAGCCCTACGAGCAGCACGCCAAGATGATATTCATGGAACTGAGCGACGCCTGGGCCGAGTTTGAGAACCAGGGCTCCCGGGCCCTCTTCTGAGCCGCAAGGACAGGGGCTGCACGCGTGGGAGCAGCCAGGCCCACCAGCGCCGCGGGCAGTGCCCCGGTCGGCCCCACCTCCCGTGAGGAGGCCCCGCGTCTGGCGACGGGTCAGGCCGCGGGCAGGAGGGCGAGCCGTTCCAGACCACGGCTTCTGTTCACGTTGCGATTGTCTCTTTCTCGTCCCAAAGGAAAGTGTTGATTTATGCTCCTCTCACTGTTTCCACGGTTTGTGATTTATTTTGGTGTCAGTGACAGTCACTCACCGAGAACGGTGGCTCCATGCCGGGCGCGCGTCTGCTGAGCGCACCGCCTTTTCTTGAATCAGAAGGTGTACATTTGCATCTGGTTTTATGTAATCTGTCTGATGATCGTTCTGTACATAATTAAACTATTTTCTGATGACGAAATTATCTTCCGACGTTTCCAGAGTGGTTGACACTCACTGGCCCATGGTTCCCGTGAGAGGCTAGGCCTGGCGGGCAGCACTCGGAGCTCTTCCCAGGCCCAGCCAGCTGCAGTGCCCGCCCGAGGCACTGTCACTGTGACCCTGTAATCCTTGGGGCCCTGTGCCTCCACGAGTTGATGGTCTTGCACCCGCCCCCTCATCGTTCCCACTGCACTAACTGCCCCCGTCACCGTCCCATCCATCACGGACGCACAGGCCCAGTTCCAGTGCCAGAGGCCTGTCCTTGCACGCAGTGGGCAGCCTGCCTGTCCAAGCATTTTTTTGAAGGAAGATTTGGACAGTGGGTGGAGAGGAAGCTGTGGGTGCTCGGCCAGGAGCATTGGCACCCACCCAGGGTGCCCCTTCTGGAATGTGGGCCACCCCTCTCTAGCCACCAGGAACTCGGGGAACAGCGGGAAGGCCGCTGGCTCTGAACCGCAGGCTTGGCCAGGCACCTGTCACAGGTGGGGCAGCCGGGTCATTGCAGCCAGGAAGTGCTCGGCCCAGTGGCAAGCACCTGCAGCCGGAAGGCTGGACCCTGGACCCACAAAGGAACGGCAGTCATGCAATTGGCACTGCTACACGGAGCGGCAGCCCCAGACAGAGCACCGTGCACTGCAGAGGGGCCGAGGTTGGAACAAGCAGGTGAGTGCGGTGACGAGCTTACAACATCGGGACACCAGATGCTGGTGGGGTGGGCGCAGGTGGCCTGCCGTGGTGGCCCCTGTGAGGACACACCCTGCCCTCATAACTGCAGCAGCAGAGGGAAGCGTGGGCGTGGAGAGCCGCCACCTCCACACCCTTCGCGCCTGCCCAGCCTTCCTGAGGCCTGGGCAACGTGGGGCCCCAGGGTGTATAGTTCAGAGAATTTAAAGCGTTTTAAAATTAAAAGCCTGCTGCTGGAGGTCCCGTGGGACCAGAAACCTGAGGATCCCCGTGACCGGGGTCACTCTAGTGTGGTTAGGGGACCTGGTCAAAGCCCAGTGAAGACAGGGATTGGACACAGGTTTGGTCGTAATGAGACTGCCCCGCGCAGCCTGAGGGTGTCTGGGCAGGGACCTCTGCAGAGTGCCCGCCACTGCCCTCCTGGGACCTGGGGAGGTTGAGGTCTCTAGAGAGTGTCAAGACGCCCAGCGGTGGAGTTGGGGTACCTGGGCCGAGGCCACGCTGGGCAGCCCACCGCCTGCCCAGAGCACAGCTCCCTACAGGGCCTTGGCAGCAGACCCTCCTGCCCACCTACCGGGGACTCAACCCGTTGCTGCTGAGCCCGTCCCCACCCCCAGGAGCTGGGCCGGAGGGAGGCAGTTCCAGGCTGGCGCTGGCCCTTTAGACTGCCTGCACCTCATCGTGGTGGAGACTATGGTGTGGCCCCCGAAAGGCCTCCGCTGCATGCCGGCAGGGGCCCGTGTGTTCCTGCCTGCAGTGTGAGCTGTCGAGTTCATGTGTGCGGGTGGGGCCTGTCAGGAGCTTGGTCCACACGGGGGGGGGGGGGCGTGTGGCGGAAGGGGGCCTGCAGGCAGGGAGAATCCCGTCCCTCGACGCCTCCCTGGCCACGCAGCTGTGGGTCAGGCTTCCTTGGTGGTGAGCGCACTCCTGACAGGCTTCCGTCAGAAACCATCTGGCGCTGTGTGCGCTGTGAACAGTGTGCATGCGCAGTGAGGGGAGGTTTAGTGCATCAGTGACCCTAGTTGGGGAGCTCCTTCAGAAAGGCTTTGCTGTCGAGTGTCCTGTGGGGGACAGGTGACAACCACCCCGAGGCTGGCTGAGCCCGGCCACGTGCTTTCCGCAGAGCCCCCCTCTGCTGGCCCAACTCCTCCCCACGATGTGGGGCACACAGCCCCAGAAAATGGCCGTGGTTATGGAGCAGGTCAGAAAGTGGTGGCCAGGATAGGAAAAGAAGGCTGGGGTGGGGGTGGACTGCCAGCAGGCCTGGGGGAGGGGCCCAGGGCTTTACTGTGACGGAGGGAGCTGGGAGCCCGTGTGTGCAGGACTTCGTCGTCCTTGTCTGACAGGTCGGTCCAGCTGCTGCGGAAACAGAAGCCAGGAGGGCAGGGGGACAGCCAGGGGAGGCAGGGGCTGTGGGAGGTGGTCCCAGCAGGCCTGCCAGGCCTGAGCTGGAAGAGAGGAGGTCGTGAGGTCGGGCCCAAGCGGCTGGAGCGGCCACCTCGCGAGCAGCGGGCGGCTGCTTACTGGACGCACTCACCTTGCCTGGGCCTCCTGCCTCCTCATCAGAGTGAGCAGGGACAGAGAGGAGACCCCACATACACACACGCTGCCCTAGACACGCTCACACATACATGCAGTCATGTGTGCACATGCAAACACGTCACTCGAATTCACACATGCATATACCGGCACATGCGTTCACACACATTCACTCACATTCCACACGCTGGCTTGCACGGGTGGGCGGCGGGCTCGGCGTCTCAGCTCCACCCCGTCAGCTTTGTTTCTTGCGCGATTGGATGGGGGCACCTCAGACCGGCCCTGTCACCCCATCTTCTGCCCTTGGCCTGTGTCACCTTTCACACCCGCGAGGATGCCTTTCACTTTAGAGACCTGCCCCCTGCAGAGCCGCGTTCTGGCTTTGCCACCAGCCTCCCAGCACCCCTCATCCTGGCAGCCTCACAGCCTCTCCTGCAGGCCGTGACCTCCAGCACTGGGCACCGCGGCCCCAGCCACGGCCTGAAAACCTGGGCCTGCCCACCTGCCTGTGGGCTGGGCTGGGGTGCTGAGGGGATCGTCTGGCTACGTCCACCCTCAGTGCACTGACAAGCAGTGTTTCCTTCTGGGCAGCCCCATATCTTCCCTGGCACCTTCTCTTGGCTTCCAGACACCTGCCTAGCAGGGTTCTCCTGGATCTTGGGTCCCCCCAAGGACCCCTGTGCCACTGCTCACTCAGGAGATGACAGATGGCTTGATCCTCAAGGTGGGGCGGCCTTCTGACATCTCCAGATTGCAGCCCAGACCACAGACCATAGCCCGGCCTCACTGCTTCTCGGGCCTCCAGCCCAGCCCATGAATCGGTGCATCCCAAGTGATGCTCACTCTTGGGAACCCACCAGTGGCTGACGTGCCTGAGGCTGGAAGGCAAGGCCACATCCAAGGTTCCTTTAGAGCTCAGACCCCCACGCTCCGTTACAAGGAACCTGGGCACCGGCCAGACAGCAGGAAGCTCCTGACCCAGCTAAACAGCTGAGCAAAGGCTACCACTCGCTTGGACAAGACCCTCTGGTGTCTGTCTAGCTGTGTGTCAGGACATCTGGGCTCTGCTGCTGTCACTGACAAAATCCTGGGTTAAGTGGTCCATTACACTTCCTTTCCTGCTCCCCACCCCCATCTTTCCCGCTCTCCCATCCCTGTTTGCACCTTCTGTGTGTTCCTGGGCAGCTTCAAAACGGCCTCGATCCCCTGCCATTTCCATCTGGGGGCCTCCTCCTCCTCCCCTTCCTCCTTGTCGTCATCACCCTCTGTGTCCTGGTCCATCTCCTGGGTGATGGGGCCCTTCCTTCCCGGCGGGGGTTCCTGCTGGGGCCAGGGAGCCGGCTGGAGGACGGCAGCTCGGGGATGTAATGGACGGGTGGATCCACCTTGTGGTTCTGCCCTGCTGACAGAGGCATGTGTCCTGTGGGAAGGAGAGAACAAGGCTCAGCCTTTGGGGACATGCTGGGGGGCGGGGGCAGGGCACAGAAGGGGCTGGCCTTGCCCTGCCCCTTGGTGACAGGTTGGCACAGCTGCAGGTCTCCCAGTAGGGCAGCCCTGTGCTCTGCGGGTATGGGAGTACCAGGAGGCGCTGCCGCCAGTCCTCGCTGCAGAGAAAGCAAAAACCAGAGGCCACAGTGGGCAGCTTCCTGCACCTGGTGCCTTGGCCACAGCCCCAGGGCAGCTCCTCGGCCAGCTGCCAGGTCATCTGGCCCTAGGCCCCACAAACAGCTTTCCAAGACCGCCACAGGTGTTCCCTGCCTGGACCAAAAGAGCATCTTCACTATCTCTCAGTGGGAACGGCAGGTGAGGCCACAGTGGCTGGAGTCGAAGAACTTCCCAGAGCTGCCAGCCGCGGCTCCCAGCCCACATTCCACGAACCTGATGGCACTGGTGCTGGGCCTGCCCCATGGCCACCTGGCTTGCGGGGCCCTGGTGGACCAAGCTGACGGCTTCTGACCACTCCCACGTTTCACCCTCCGCTCGAGGTGCGTCTGAAGACAGGATGTCTGCCCCCAGAGGAGACTTGTTCCCAGTGCCGGGGCAGACGCAGGCATGGACGCAGGCAGGCCCTTGGTTCTACAGATCGTATCGTGCCCTCCAGAAAGACGTGGGCGTCCTCACCCCTGTCCCTGTGAGCGGGCCTTGTTTGGAAATGGCCTGTCTTTGAAGATGTTACTAAGTCATACCGGTGTAGGATGGGCCCAAACCCCTTCTGAGTAGGGTCTTCTAAATGGGTGAACAGACATGGAGTCAGGGTCCCACCCGGGGAAGATGCCACGTGAAACATCTACAAGGAGCACAGAGCAACCGCTGGAAGCCACCAGCAACCGGGAGAGCAGCCAGGGGGT